TTCCAGCAAGCGGGCCTGGCCTAGGGAGGATTTTAAATCGGGTTTATTTTAAGAAAAATTTTAAACAGCACAACTTTAAATATTTGGTTTTAATTGGTTTTATTTGGTGGGGATTGTAAATACGTTTCTGTTTTAAATATGTTGTGAGCCGCCCTGAGTCCCGTTGGGAGAAGGGCGGGATATAAATCAAATAAATAAATAAAAAATAAATAAATAAATAAAATAAAATGTTTCAAAAGTATTATTTTAACAATATAATGAATGCAAATAAATAGTTTAATGGTGCATATATACAGTATTATTGTTTAGCCAAAACAAGGCCTGATCACATGCAACATAAATGCTACTCTTAATTTTCCTCTGGCTAATTAAACAAACTTATCTAAGTTTCCTAAATAAAATCAATAAAATAACTATGTTATTTACCACTTATTTTTCTTTTAGGATGTTGTTGGAAGGCTTTTTCAATCAGATGTGGCTGAAATTGCTCTGGTAAGATTTGCATGATATTTGTCAGATATAAAGTCATGCTACTGAAAAGTTGAATTGTCTTAACTGGAGTCCTCAATTATTTCTCTTCTAATCTGATTTAGAAAAACACACTAGATTCAGAAATACCAAGAGTCAATATCATAGCGGATGAAGAATTTCTCCCTTTCAAAGAAAACACATTTAACCTTGTTGTCAGCAGTCTGAGGTAATTAGCAATTGAATTAAAGCAGACAGAAACATTTATAATGATAACAGTGATTTTTGTAATTGGGACCCTTGGGTTCCTGAGGTTGCAATTTTGTGTGTTAGTATAACATCTGTCAAGTGCCAGGAAAATCAAAAGATTTGGGCAGTTCAAATGAGTACAAAGATTCATTGCAAGCTTAAGCTCTCTACAAGAATCTGAACTACTAATGGTCAAAGCAATTTGGCGGTAGATAAGAGTCAATGGAATTCAAAGTAGGCTAGACTGAGATCTCTTGTGGGCGCCAAGGGACTCATGACTGAGGATGCATTTAACCCCTCCCTTGGGCTCAGCCTGGTCATCATCTACAATATCTGGCCTGCTATAAGAACAGGCGTGGTAATTTATAATTGAGAGGCCAGAAGATTAATATAAAGAAAATGGGCTTTATTATGTGTACCCCTGCAGCCTTCCCAGAACACTGTTTTAGAAAATGTGTCTGCAGTAAAAAAAATGAGGAACGTTTACCAGTCCTTGAATACTACCCTCTATATTACTAAGTAGTTAAGTTAAAGGGATGGTACCTGTTTTGAATTTGCACAATACACTGAAACTGAAATTTTGGGTGAAATGCATAGCAGAAAGGATGCCACGTGCATTTATGTTACTTAAGATTTTGGCATGTTGCGTAAATGCATCTCTGGTGTGCTGCATATATTTTTCTTGTGCCAATATGCCAGTCTGCCCTTGCCATCTAAAATTTACAGTGGTGAGAGAGTTTTGTGCCTTTTATTAACTTGCTTTCTATTGTAATTACTTTTTAGTTTGCATTGGGTCAATGATCTTCCCAAAGCATTGCATGAAGTAAGTACACCTGTTCCCTCCCTGTAAAGTATTGATATAGTGGTGACAATAACACATCATCTTAACCATTGTTTTAGCATGCAGGTGGCAGCTCCCAACTGACCTTGCTTGGGCTCAGAAGCTAAGCTGGTTCAGGCCCAGTTCTATGATGAGAGAGGGACAAGAAGAATGGGGACTAGACTGAGAGGTTGAAATGACATCCCAGAAGGTGGCAGTAATAAGCTACATCCTTGCAGTTGCCAAGGAAACTACATCAGTGTATTCCTAAAGCAGCAACAGATTTGTCAGAGCAAGCAAGCTAAACTCAGCAAGAATTGTGCATGGCTAATAGCTATGATATATTGAGTGTGAGTTGGCAAAGCAAAGAAAAAAGAAAAGGGGTGGAGTAAAGTAGCCTCCTTCAGGTTATTTCCAACAGAAACCATATTGTTGGAAGAGATACTGACCTGTAATATTATGTCTTGCATTCTGTAAAGGTAGTCCTTGACTTATGACTATAATTGGGACCAGAATTTCAGTCACCAAGCAAAGTAGTCTTTAAGCAAGCCATCATGTGATCAGATCTGATTTTACAAACATTTTCTTTACCATGATTGTTAAGCAAATCACCACAGTTGTTAAGTGAATCACATGGTTGATAAGTGAATCAACTGGTCAATAAGCCAAATCCAGCTTCCCCAATTGACTTTGCTTGGTGTTGGATCCCACTGGAAAGGTTGCAAATTGTGATTCCATGACCACAAGACTCTATAACCATCATAAATGCAAGCCGGTTGTCAAGCATCCAAATTGCAATAATATGATAACAGCTGTAGTACGACAGTGGTAACTTCAAGGACAGGTTGTAAGCCATTTTTTCCAAGATGGTCATCATTTTGAACAGTCAAACAAATAGTCATAAGTCAAGGACTACCTGCAAATTTAGTCTGTAGTGTTCTCACCCGCTCGCAGTTAATAAAGTGGGTAAAGTTCAGTCCAGCCCAGGGCAGGATTCAGTAATCCATAGCCCATATGCAACCATAGTTACTCTATACAACCCAGATGGTCCACATTCTTTTCTTTGCTAGATGGGAAAATAAAGATTGCTGTTCTGATAGCTACTAGCAGCAGCAACAGCAGCAGAAGTGCAGTTTTCTTACTCCTTTCTTACTCTCCCATCCTATCTCAAGATTTGTGCTTTTTCCCTGTGGATTACAATATTGGAGCTTTAGTGGCTCAGTGGTTAGAATGCAGCATTGCAAGCTGACTCTGCCCACTGCCAGGAGCTTGATCCTGACCAGCTCAGGGTTGACTCAGCCTTCTATCCTTCCGAGGTCAGTAAAATGAGAAGCCAGATCGTTGAGGGCAATATGCTGACTCTGTAAACTGCTCAGAGAATGCTGTAAAGCAGGAGTCCCTAAACCCCGGTCCATCGACCAGCACCGGTCCATGGCATGCCAGAAACCGGGCCACGCAAACAAGTGAAGCCCCATCCATGGGATGCAGGCAGTATGCAAAGTCAAGCCCCCTCCTGTCCGTGGAAAAACCTCTCCATGGAACCAGTCCCTGGTGTCCAAAAGGTTGGAGGCTGCTGTTGTAAAGCTCTGTGGAGCAGTATCTAAGTCTAAGTGCTATTGCTATTGGAAAATC